AAACAAGCACACAAACAAACACACGTAAAAGTACACAAACGCACCAATATCTTAACCATCATAGAAGAGAACGCGAGAGCAAACATGCAAACAAACAATATAGCCAAACAGAAGAAAGCGAAAATGATGAAGAAAACAGGGAACGAAAATAGACATCCAAAAGGGGAAAGACGAAGAGAGAAAGTGGAAAGTGAAATTGTAAGAAAAGAACAGCAGGTGAACAGGTGAACAGGTGAACAAGCTTGTTCTTATTATCCTGTGTTACTGTTGAGCATGATCTTAAAATAGCTTTCTAACGTTTGTTTGTAATATGGTTTCCTTTTTTTTTACTCTCTCTCTCTCCTTCTCAGTCTTTGCCTTTCTCTTGTTTTGATTTTCTTTGTCTTTTCAATCTATTTTTATTTATTATTTTTTCCCCTTCTCCCTTTCCTAGTTCTTTTTTTTCTTTCTTATTCTTCTTCTGCATCCTCATCCATTATTTTTCGTCTTTTTTCCTCTCTCTCTTCGTTCTTCATCTTCTCCTTCTCTATCTTCCTCAGCATCTTCGTCTTCTTCTCCGTTCTATTCTCTTCTTTCTGCGTTTTCATCCCTTTCTTCATCTTCTGCATCTCCATCTCTTTCTCCTCCTCCATCCTCTTCTGCATTCCCACTCCATTCTCTATCTCCTCCGTTCCTTCTCCTCCTTCGTCTTCTTTTGCATCTTCATTCTTTTTTTCGTTCCATTCTCCTCCTCCTCTTCCTCCATACTCCCCTCCTCCACCTCCTCCTCCATTCTCTCCTCCTTCTCCTCCTCCTCCTCCTCCATTCTCTCCTCCTCCTCCTCCACTCTCTCCTCCTTCTCCTCCTTTTCCTCCTCCTCTATTCTCTCCTCCTTTTCCTCCTCCATTCTCTGCTCCTTTTCCTCTTCCATTCTCTCCTCCTCCTCCTCCTCCTTCTTCTTCTTCTTCTTCTTCTTCCGTATCTCCATCCCCCCCTCCGTCTTCCCCATCTTCTTCTCAAGCCTGTCAAGTTTCTCCATCTTGATATTCAATGATTATATGGTTGAAAAAAAAAAAAAATATATATATATACTGTGGACTTTCACCGCCTTTTGTGGTGTATATTACCGGATAAGCTGTATGATGTAAAGAAAAAGACAAAAGAGAAAAAAAAGGAAAAAAGAAAAAAAGAAAAAAAAGGAAAAAAAAAAAGAAAGAAAGAAGAAAGAGAGGAACATGTTCTGAGAGAGAAGGGATTTATTAAGAGAAAAAGGGAGAAAGGAAAAGATGAGAAGACAAGAAACGAGAAAAGAAGGAAAATGAGAAAAGAAGAGGAAAAGGAAGAAGAGAGAAGAATAGAGAATAAGAGAAGACAAAAGAAGAAAAGAGAAGAGAAGACAAAAAAAAAAAACTACAATAAAAAGTAAAAAAAAAAAAAGAAAAAAGACAAAACAATAAAACGGTAAACAAACAAACAAAACATTATTTACGCGATACGCAGCCTAACCCATATATAGGTATTATTACATAGGTCTTCCATATACGCCAGAGTGAAGACGCGGTCACGGACGGCCAGTTATCACGTATTGTACTTTTTTTCTTCTTTATTGAAAAGTGAAACTGTTTATATTAATTATGGTACTTAATATATAATCTAAATCAAGATTCTAAACATTATTACGACAAACTCTTATGCCATTAATAGCCTCATATACCTATTACCTATGAAATTGAAATATCTTATAGAGCAATTCATCTTGAGGATTTTTTTTATAGTTTCTTAAAAAAAAAAAAAAAAAAAAAAAAAAAGTCTCAGGTATAATAGACTCAAAGGCAAGGTGGCCTTAAAATTTATGGTAGTTGGGTTTTATTGTGTGTAAATCCCAGTGGATATTGAGGAAGGAGGGAGGGGGAAGAGGAGGAGGAGGAGGAGGAGGAGGAGGAGGGAGGAGGGAGGAGGAGGAGGAGGAGGAGGAAGGAGGAAGAAGGATGAAGGAGGAGGAAGTGGTAGTGGAGGAGGTGATGGTGGCGGTGGTGGAGAAAGAGGAGAAGGAGGAAGGAGGGAGGGGAGGAGGAAGGAGGAAGAGGAAGACAAGGAGGAGGAGGAGGAGGAGGAGGAATAGGAGGTGGTGATGGTGGAGGAAGAGGAGGGAGGAGGGAGGAGGGGGGAGGGAGGAGGGGGGAGGGAGGAGGGGGGAGGGAGGAGGGGGGAGGGAGGAAGGGGGAGGGGGGAGGGAGGAGGGAGGAGGAGGACGAGGAGGAGGAGGAGGAGGAGGAGGAGGAGGAGAAGAAGAAGAAGAAGAAGAAGAAGAAGAAGAAGAAGAAGAAGAAGAAGGAGAAGGAGGGTGAGGAGGAGATGGTAGAGAAGGAGGAAGGAGGAAGGAGGAGGGAGGAAGGAGAAGGAAGCGGGGGGAGGAGTAGGAGGAAGAGGAGGAGAAGGAGAAAGAGATGGTGGAGGAGGAGGAGAGAAAAAGGAGGAGGGAGGAGGGAGGAGGGAAGAGGAAGGAGGAGGAGGAGGGGGAAGGAGGAGGGAAGAAAAGAGGGAGGAGGAAGAGGAGAAGAAGATGAAAAAAAATAATGATAAAAGATTAATACGAAGGAGGAAAAGAAGAGGATAGAAGGAAAAAGAAAGAGAAGAGATAGATAGAGAAAGAGGAGAAAAAAATAAAAGGTTAAAGGAGGAAAAGGAAGAAGAAAGGGAAGAGAAAGATGGAGAAAGAGAAAGAAGAGAAATAGAAGAAAAGGAAGAAGGGAGGGGGGAGGAGGAAGAGCGATAGAGGAACAGGAAACAGCAACAAAGACAATAGAAAGAGTAAACAGGATAACAGCAGAAAGATGGAGAAAAGAAAAAAAACGAGGATAAGGAGAAAGAAAACAAATACCAAAAATAAGAATGAAAATAAGAACAAAAAGAAAAGAAAAAAAATAGAAGACGAATAGGAATAAAAAAGAGATAATAAAAAGATAATAACGAGACGTAAGAAAAAAGAAAGAAAGAAAAAAAGAAAGAACAAAAAGAAGAAGAAGAAGAAGAAAATGAAATAGAAGAAGAAAGAGAAGAATGAAATAGAAGAACAAGAACAAGAACAAGATCAAGAAGAAAAGAAAAACAAACAAAACAAAAACACTTCCCTTAGTCTCACCATAAGGATATTTTTTTGAAGTAGAATTTGTGGAAAGAGAAAGGGAGAGAGCAAAGTTACGCGTTCTGAACAATTTAACGAGGTACTGCTATGGGGATGGAGGAGGAGGGGGGGGGGGTGGAGGGGAGGAAGGAGAGGGGAAGAGGAAGAGGGAGGGCGGAAGGAGGAGGGAGGGGGTAAGGGAAAGGGGGAGGGGGGGGTAGGGGAAAGGGGGAGGGAGAGGAGGAGGAGGAGGAGGAGGGGGAGGAGAGAGTGGGAGAAGGAAGTAGGGGGGGAGAGGAGGGGAGGGAGGAGGGAGAAGGGGGGGAAGGAGGAGGGAGGGGGAGGGAGGAGGAGTGGGGGAGGGTGGAGATGAGGGAGGGGGAGGGGGGGAGGAAGGAGGAGGGACGAGGGGGGAAGGAGGAGGGAGGGGGAGAGGAGGGAGGAGGAGGAAGGAGAGAGGGAGGGAGGGGAGAGAGGGAGGGAGAAGGGGGACGGAA